GTAGAATAAATATGTTTCTTGTATGTAGATAAAGGTATTTTATTTACAAACAGCTATTTCTGTTAATCTTCGACAAAAGGTGTAAAACCGAAACGTCAGAAAATAGAGTAATAGAATAAATATGTTTCTTATATGTAAATAAAGGTCTTTTATTTACAAACAGCCATTTCTGTTAATCTTTGATAAAAGTTCGGTGAAGCCAAAGGTGTATAACCGAAACGTCGGAAAATAAAGTAATAGAATAAATATATTTTTCGTATGTAGATAAAGGTAGTTTATTCACAAACATTTCTGTTAATCTTTGATAAAAGTTCGGTGAAGCCAAAGGTGTATAAACCGAAACGTCGGAAAATAAAGTAATAGAATAAATATATTTTTCGTATGTAGATAAAGGTAGTTTATTTACACAAAAAAACAGGAAAGGATAATGTTGTTAACCTTCCACAAAAAGAATTTACAATGAATGAAAGCAAAATTATTTTCCTAATAATTGAGAAGTTATCGAAATTAGTTCTTATAATCTTTGTTGCTGCTTATAAACGAAAAATAAAATGCAAAAACAAAACAACATTCAAATTTATTACAAACGTATTCAACATATATACATTGACATAATGCGCTCAATTTAGAAAACCTATTTTCCAAGAAAGCTTTCACGAATTCTAATTTCTGTCAGTATCTATCTTTTATCGTACTTCAAATATAGCATGGTGAGTGGATGCGCCAAATCACTGTGTTGATACTGGTTTTTTTACACGACCGGTCTGTAGACATAAACGAAGCAGAAATCAATCACATTCTCTAAGTGTGCTAACGGCTAAAATTTACTTGGTGCACTTCATTATAAGAATGCTACAGTACTGGCTGGAAGACGTTCGTTGAAGGTTTTTAATCAATACTAAATGTAGAGAATCCTTTAACCCTTTAAGTAGCAGCTTGCATTCATATCCAGGCTGATTGAAAAAAAAAGTGTCTTCCAGGTTTTTGATCAGAGGTGAGAATTTGATTCTAGTAATTTTATTTTTTTGTAGGATTTTATTTTACCAGCTTGCTATAAAACTTAAGGGCGCTTTGGCTAAATACGTTACTTTTTTTCCTATACAAAGAGTCGACTGTGGTACTATTTTACTTAATTTGATAAAACTGTTGCCTGGATGATAGAAATGTTGCCTGGGGATAAAGATCAAATAGTATGATGTCTCAGGTTATTGAAAGATCGACGAAACAAAAACACGTAGAGGTTTGATATTTAGGTTCCAAATCTGCAACTCTTGTTAAAAGTTCATAATCTATTCAAAAACGAAGAAAAAACTAACAATTTTTTTTCTGCCAAACTTAAGAACAAAATAAATAAAAACATAACCCTGTAAAAATGAGCTTAAAAT